GGCTTAAGGAGAACAGGTAATCGGTTATAATGATGAGCTCTTTTATACCTAGTTAGATTCACCTCGTTCTTATCTGCGTTTAGACATTAGGTCTACGCCTAGTTTAGATGCATCTAAACGAAAGGTATAAAAGCAAAGAAATAGGGGTAAATCTGAATGCAGACTAAGCTAAATAATCTAAATAGAGGCAAACTTGGTTGAACTAGGGAAAGGAATGCTACCACTTCTGCTGAAGTACTAGGGGCGTGAGGGGTTGTTTTCCTATAGTTTTTATCTATAAGCAGCTAGTCCATATGAATAGTAGGGGCAGAATAAGCAGCAGGTAGTATAGGATAGCGTCAAAATAGTCACTACATCCTATTCTGATCTGTAAAGTAACGACTCTGCTCTATAGCGTGGGGCTTTAGGGGCAAGTATAAAATAAGGAGGGGTGCGCTAATAGAGCTTTAACTAGGTAGAGAGGAATAGCAGACTGATGAGATAGTCTCTCGGCCTACTAAGAGGATCTGTTGAGGGATATGTTAGGCTGCTCTAGTCTCCTTTCGTGGGTTTTCCGTCCCTAGGATCCTTATAGAGTGAATAAATAGGGTGAATCCTATTAGAGTAATATAAGATAAGGTGTTTAACTTTTTAGGGGGGGGGGGGGGGGGCCTTTTTTNGGGGGGGGGGGGGGGGGGGGGGCCTGTTTTGCTATTCTTAGTTCTAAGTAGTCCTATCTAGCTAGGGCTCTAATTATCTGTTACGTTGCAAACTAGAGGAATGATGATAGATTGCTAGTATTAGCCTGAAGAACAGCCTTATAGTTATTAGGGCGTGCTTTTTATAGAAGCCTTCTGTAGGGCTAGCTCCTTCCCATCCCTATTCGCTTCAGCTGTATAGCCCGTCTTATAGCAGAAGCAAATATTTGAGGAGGCAGATATAAAAAGGATAGACGCAGCAGAAGGTAGCGATCTATCAGGCTAATCTAAGTCACTAGAAGTAGTAGAGGCAGATGAAGAAGGAAGACTGCTAGAGTAGATGAGGCGTGTGAAGGAAAACAGCCTCTTAGGATGATGGGGTTGAAATGGTTGGCCGGCAAGCGTCCTTTATAGATATGATATTAGCTGCTTAGGCTGACTAATATGAATAACGTATTGTAATAAGCAGCAAGTGATGCTAGAGAGCAGTAGGGTGAAAACAGTATAGCCCTTAATGCATAAAGTTCTAATTAAGCCTAGGAAGCTTACTGAGATTAGTAGGGAAAGGAAAACTTATAAAAGTAGTAAGGTGATATAGGCTAGGAACAGAAAGGCAGGCAGAAATGAGGCTGATTATAGGATATAAGCTCTTAGGCTTTAAGGAGAAGGGAGCTGCTAGGGTTAGTGAGACCACTAGGTTAGTTAGGAAATATACTTTACAGACCTAGCTTATTATAAATAGCTATAGGGAGCAAATATAGCTGCAGAATTAACAACTAACAGCATAGAAACACAGTAAAGCAAGCTACCTAACGATAGGCTGTAAGTAAGAGATAAATAAGACCCTATAGGCAGCATAGGTGCCTGCGCGCAGTTTAGATCTATAAAGCTCCTTATAAAGGAAAGTATATAAAAAGCAAACGTAGTAGAAGCAGACTAGATAAAGGTAAGCATAATAATCTTCTGAAGCTTTATCTTAGGTATAAAAGAGAAAGAAAGAGGAAAGGTAGGGTAGTAATGCACTAGCTGGTAGAGGTGCTTGCGCTGATTCCTTCTAAGCTGAGTATTATAACAGAATAATAGGGTGAAGATGATGGAATATAAAGAAGAGTATAAGTGAAATGCTGTAGCTTGAGCGAGTGAGGTATGGACGTCTTGCTGTGAGGGAGGTGAATCCTATTGCTTTGGTCTGATCTGCAAAGCATTCTCTTAGGATGGGTATAAAACGGTGATGCGGGTAATTGAAATAAGGAGGAATGGTAACGAATGGCTTGCACTTGTTGTGTAATAGGTGCTTTCTATATGAATAAGATAAGAAGATACCTATGTAGGGTAAATAGGGTGGATGGTATTATAGGCAGAAGTATCCCTATAAATCCTGAATGATATGAATAGTGTAACGGAATAAAAGCATAGAGATGATGAGATATAATGAAAATAAGATGAAATGGTGCAAACTAAGATAATGTTAGTATGATTTAGGCCTATAAAGTATCGTTTAGTAGTGTTAGTTAGGCTATAAAGCTATAGCTGTAGTGCGTTCCTTAGATATCCTCTTAGTAAATAGCTATCCTTGAGTAATAATGTAATCAAAAGAGGGTGGAATAGTTGTTGGTTATTAGCGTGGGGTTACGTCACCTAGGCTACGCCTTACTGCGTAGGCAGTTATTCTGAATCTCTGTCCTTAGAATTGTTATCTAGTGTCTCTATATCTAGCTGCTTTAAGGGTGGGAATATGTGCTTAATGTAGTCTGTAAAGTTATCTTAGAGGATAATAGGGTTATTAGGTTCCTAAAAACCCTTAGGGGATTAGATAAACTTCTTTAGGCGGTTTCCTGTATATGTTAAACCTTATAGGGGTTCTCTAGTAAGTGTAGTAAGCTAGTATAAAGAGTTCTCTAGAGCGTAGGAGTAGATTTAAAAGGGACCCTTCTATCTGTAGTCTAACTTGGTGTCTGACGACTTATTGATAGATTTCATGATGTTGAAGGATAGTACTAGGTTGCTAACGTTTAAGCAGCTTAGTTGGAGTATGCAGGCATGCTGCTTGTTAAACTGCGTGGTAATATATTTATGCTGCTTTGTAATTATCTTTTGGGCCTCCTCTCTGTTTTTATCTAACTAGCTGAAGGCCTGTATTTGTGCAGTGAGTTCTTGTTCTAGTATAGAGATATTAGCCTAGTTAAGAACTCTCTATGTGGGCGTGAGGGTCTTAATTGGTGTGACTGGGTTATACTTATGAAGAAGGTAGAAAGGGGAGTAGCTAGTTAACGCTTAAATAGTTGTTTGGTCTGTAAAGAGCGTAGTATGAAGGTAGGGTTAAAAGTTACGGCTAGTATCCTTAAGCTAGGTTAATAGGGTATAGGTGATAGGCTGGTGACCTTTCTCGATAGTTCTATTAGCGTGAGGATTATAAGCTGCTGTGACTTGCTGGCGAAGGGTGTATTTCTTGTTGAAAGTAATGATGTGACCTTTATTCTCTAGTCCTCTATCTATAACTAGCGTTCTGTATAACCTATAGCGATAGATAATATCTTCCTAGATGAATTTGGTAATGAGCTTTAAATTAGCTTGCGGTATCTATCTTACTTCAACCTATCCTATTAGGAGGTCTCTAGCTTTAACTATATTATACCTACCTACCTTCTGAATATCTAGGGCTACTCTTGCGAATAGGAGTCTAGTAGGCGTTGTGAAGGAGTGTATGTCGTCAATCTGGCGTGCCCTATATAGTTAATAGTCTAGGTATGTTGAGATTGCGTTTATAATAGATTTGTAGAGGCCTGGCTAGAAGTAGTTGTTAGCGAGCCTTTTGAATATAGTATTGCGTCCCCTGTGGCTACTCTTAATATGAGCGCGTGTAATGAGATGGTTTCTCTCAGTAGTACTGTTGATAATGTGTTGTGGTGTTGGCTTGTGAACGCTTGGGCGTGTGAATAAGAACTTGTTGCGAAGAGTGTAGCTGATAGCTTTCGCTTGCTATTGCTTGTATTGGTTTGTAGGAATGCTTGGTGGGCGGCGGAGAGTACTGAGGAAGTATGCAATCTGTTGAGACTCTGTTGACTAGGTCTGTAAATCACTTAATACTGATGGTGGCATCGTGAGGAGGGTGTCCTGTTTATTGTTGTTGTCGCTAGTAGTTATAGCTGTAACGTCTGCAGCAGCCTAGGCATCTCTGTGGTCCTAAGCCTTATTGAAGAAGGAATGCGTTTGTGTATCTGTAAAGAAGATCTGTTGGTCGATTTAGTTATTGATTTCTCCTTCTGCTTCTTCGTCTTGTTTGTTTGAAGGCCTGCTGGGCTTCCTGGAGAGGCTATTGGCGGCAGTGTTCTGTGCGCTTGGTATGTGTTGGATTTTAAAGTTAAATATGCAGATCTATATAATCTATTGAATAATAAGAGCGCTGGGGAGATTAGAAGCTACGCTATTAATCTAGGCTATAAGCGTCTTTACATCTATCTTAATAACGAAATAGTAGCTAAAGAGATAGTTACATACTCATTTTAATACTTTTAGAAGGCCCTAAAGTTCCTTCTTTCCTGCGTTATAGTTAAGCTCCACCTCTACCTATAAGCCACTTTCGTATTGCGAAATGTGTCTCTTCCTATTAATGAATTGATTAAGTATAGCTCCCTATCCTATACTGCTGGTATTAACTGCTAGATAGATAATACCCCTATTAGGCTTATAGTTAAGTTTAATGAGAATTAGAGACGATATAAGCTTGCGTTTCAGCTTATCTATAGCCTTCTGTTGGTTAGGACCTTATACGAACTTGATATCCTTCCTTAGAAGCTCTGTGAGGGGTTTAGCGACGGTTGAAAAGTAAACTACCTATATTTAGTAGAATGAAGTGATTTTGAGGAAGGCGTGCAGTTCTGTGAGTCTTTTGCAGGCCTCCTATTTAGTTATCTTGATGATTTTTGACTGTTCTAGGCGTCGACTATTGGTGCTGTATATGTATCTGATGATGGCTATAGCGGTTTGAGCCTACTGGGACTTGTCTGCTGAGACTAAGCACTCTGCTAACTTGAGGTTAAGCAGCACTTTGTTAATATTCTGGATATACTTAAGGATGAATTTCTATATTCCTAGGTAACTAAGTACTTCTTTGTTATTATACTGCGTTGTAGGGCTTTTGATAGTAATGTCGTTGAGGAAGGCTTTGTAATAGTGAGGGATTAGGTTGTATAGGATCCTTGTTATTACCTTTATGAACTGGGTAATGGAGTTGGTAGCGCCTTGTGGTAAAGTGTATATGCGTAGCAATCTGATTAGCGTGGCGAACGTCGTAAGGTCTTAGCTCTTCACATCTAGTGGGACTTAGTTATACCTTAAGAAGAAGTTAAGCAGAGAGAGAAGCTGGTATATGGCGAAGTCTTCTGAAAACTTGTCTCCTGCTGGAGGTAAGGCTGCGTTTTGAAGTGTGACTCTGTTGATCTGGGTAGCTGAATTGATTAAGCGTATTTTTCTATCCTTCTTCCTTATGAGGAAGAAGGGGTTCTAGTATAATATGTAACTTTCCTCTAGAATACCCTTCTGTAGGCAGTCTTTAAGTATTTGAATGACTTCAACTTTAAGTGCTTTTAGGATTAGTATGCTTTAAGCTTGCTATGCTTTATGTAGAATAGTTTAAATAGACTGTGGTAGGGCTACTAATAGGTGGATGGATCTATAATGGGGGAATTCTCACGCTATAGCTATCTCCCTGTTCTTTTAGACTTACATAAGTAGGGCTTTCTCTTAGTTAGTTAAGTGTAGTATAATGCTGAGTAGCTTATCTAGTTGTTTTTAAGTAAGGTGCTCTCCTATTAGAATATTAGAGAACTTAGGTGTGATTAAGTCTGTAAAGGGGTCTTTAGTATATGTCTTAAGCTTTTCTTAGACCTTAGCTTATGCTTTAAGCTTCTACTTAGGGTCTCCTTCTGGGATAGTACTATCTGATAGTGTATTATTAATAGGGTGGATCTTCCTATCCTTAGTCTTATATATAGTATTAACTTTAACTGTGTTAGGAGGGTTCTAACCTCTATCTAAAGCTTTATAGAGGAGTGTTGTTCTTGCCTTTATGATAGCTTTACTTAGAAGGTTCTTACCTTATTAAGAGTGATGGAAAACTTGAGCCTTCTCCTAGGTGAGTCTAATGCCTTACTTGTTGTTAGATTTAGAAACAGCTACTAGTTTATAGACCTTAGTTAGCAAGAGCTATTCTAGAAGCTTAGGGCTGGACTTAAACTTAGCAAGAGCTACTTCATATAGAACCCTTTCCTAATGTTTATCCTACTTAGATCTGTCTGTGGAGCTAAGATAGTAAGTAGTATGTTAAGCTTTTTAGACTATCTGAGAGGCTTTAATAGCATCTGCTGTAGCGAAGTCTTTATATAAAAGGGCTTTGCAGTAGAGCATAGTGTGTTCTATAGTTCTGAACTACGTAGTGATACTGTTTTGAGGAAACGAAATGTTTACTAGGTTACTACCCTATCAACTTAAAAGCTATTTATAGGACTTCTCCAGCCTGTTAAAGAATATAGTGTTGTTTAGCGCCTTTGCTGCACTTAGGATCCCCTCAGTTACAGCTAGTATGTTGAGGCTGGCTTCATGTGCCTCCTCTGCTTGTGATGAGGCTTTTTTCCTTTTTGGACTTGCTTTGGATCTGTAATAGTCTGTTGGCGTCCTCTGGTTCTTGTAGGTGTAGTTTAGGCTGTAGTTCCTAAGTTTAGTAAGTTTGGTGGTTATGGAAACGACCTTAGGGGTAATAGCTTACTAGATTAATATCTCGAGAATTTGCTAGAAGAGCTTGCTTTTGTGGTTGAAGGCGCCCTTAATTTTATCTCTATCTTTAAGTTCAGCTTATACTACTATATCTAAGGATAACTATTTGATATTAAGCGTCTGAATATCTTCCTAGCTGCTAGTCTTATAATCCTCCTCTATAGTAGGATTTAGGGCTCTGTCTATTCCTAATTCTGATGAGCTAGCTGCTGCGCTGGGTGTAGCAGTGGCGGCCTCTAGTTTCCCTCCTCCTTGGGAATATGGCGGGAACTCTGAATCTTGTTGAATACGTCTAGGTTAGGGATAACGCGGGGAAGGAGGGCTGTGGACTAGTTAGTGAAGAAACTGAGGGTATACTTTAATAGGTGCTAGGTAGTGTAGTAGTGAAAATTGCTGTTAATCTATTTATCTGTATAGCTGAGCTCTATCTTGGTACGATAGATAAAAGGGCTGCTAAGGATTAGGCTTTTTGAGGTTTTGCTAGATGGGCTGATGAAGAAACCTACGTTAGGTATATAGTGGCTGCTAATGTATATGTCCTCTATAATGGTGCCTATGAACTGTAGTTCTGATGTGATGTCTGTGAAGCCTCTGATTGTGACTAGGGTTGGTGTGACTCTGCTTTGAAGTCTATTGAGGTTGATGTAGTCTTTAGATATAACGTTCACTGTGGAGCTGGTGTTGATGATTCCTGACTGTTCCTTAGCTAGGTGGTGTCTGATTTGAATAGCTACCTAGAAGTGAGGCATAATGAAGTCGCGCGCGGTGACTATACGCCCTCTACTGGAGCAGGGCGCAACTTTAGGTTGGGGTTACTAGGAGTTTTTTGCAGCTAAGACCTTAATATTAGTTGGTCTAAAGCCTTATGGCGTTGAGATATCTGCTATGTTCATATTGATGTAGTAGCTTCCTCTAATAGGTTATAGCTCTTCTACTGGTGTATTGGTGCTGCCCTTTGTAGATCTAAGATTGCTATTCTCGGGCTGCTGTAGGTTGGCTTTGTGTTCCTTGTCCTATTTCCTTATAAGTTCCCTGATGCTTGCTTCTTGGCCTTTAACTTGCGCGTGAGTATTAGCTAAAGCTGGGTTGGTAGCAACTGCGTTACTGCTATATGCTTGGTCCTGGTATCGCTCTATATATGCTGTTGCGTACTGGAACTTGAGCTGTCTGTATTCTGGCCAGTTGTCTAAGAGAAACTGTTCTGGCAGAGTGATGTTGCCTGTCTGCTTTTTGCTATGAAGGGCTGCAGCTTGAGAGCGGGTTTCTTCTGAGTCTGAGAAGAGGGTTGTTTAGCGTAGCTCCCCGGTCTCCTCGCGGCGAGCGGGTCCTTGCGGCCGAGGTTGCGAAGGGACCTATATAATTATTTTGTCTTTAACTACTTCCTCAACTTAGGCACCTCTTGTGGGCGTGGCGCCTTGTTGAGTTGAGATTTGGTCTGTAAAGTGAACCTTCCTTGCTGAGGAGTTGCTATATGGGGTATGTTGGAAGTTGTTGTTCTTTATTCTGGTAATAGTGTTGACCTCTACTGGCTCCTCGTCTCTTATGTGGTTAATGTTAACTGTGTGGCTGTGTGCGTACCTGATGTTGATGTAATTGATGGCAGTTATTGATGCTTGTCGTCTAGCCTCCTCTTGTTCTCTCTGGGCCTTGTCCACTGCGACTGTGGCCTCCTGATGACAGATAGATGATTCCAGGCTGGGCATTTGCTCTAGGTAGTACTTGTTGTAGAATTGCTTTGCTGCTGCCTCTAGCTGGGGGTATGCTTTGCTTTAGAGGATGTAGGCCTAAATAGTTGCTAGGTTAGGTATTAAGTTCTTCCGTCCTTTATTGATAATGCCATCCTAAACGATATTATAATTGGCATGAGAGCTAATATGCTATCCCCTTAGGTAGTATGCCACCCTAGCGTTCCTTGACTTGTCTGTAATGTTGTATTTGGCTGCGTGGTGTCTGTTTATTCTACAGGAGTAGTAATCTCTGATCCTGGGTATGTTGTACTGCGTCTGGTTTATAGTGGTTGAGCTTATAAATTGGCTGGCCTCTCTTTGCTGTTTATAACTCCCTTGCGCTGTAGATACTTAGTTTACATCTATAATATAACTGTTCTGTGCTAGTTTGAGCTGCTAGCTAATGTTTACGCTTAGCTTCTAAACGCTAGCTATAAGCGCCCTTATCTGTTCCTTAGTGTCTTTACTGTTAAGAGATATTTGGTGCATCTGCTCTTAAAGGGCGGCAACTTTATCTAAGTTTGCTGCTTTTAAGTTGCTGCGTTGCTGCTGAATGTGGGTAACTTGTGCAGGCTGGCTGATGGGTTTGATGAGACTAATGATTGAGGGAGGAGCGGTTACCTTTGTGGCCTTCTTTCTGCTGATATATACATAAGAGGTCTCTCTAGCTGCCTATTTGATAATTACGCGCTTAATGCTTAGCTAAAGCTTCTAGAGCAGGTCTATAACGTCATAAGAGAGAGCCTTTGCAGCAGCCTTAATAGCTCCCTTTGGCAGGCGCCTGTAAATAAGGCGAATAAGATCTTAGTCTTAATACCTTAGGAGTTCCCTCATAGTGGCCTTATAGCATAAGCCCTTAATACAATTAAAGAGGGCTGTAATGCTAATAGTGTTTGTCTTAGAGAGGGGGGGCTTATCCTCGATTACTTAAAGCTCTTCGTTAGGGTCCTAATAGAAGCTTTTATCTATAATACTATACTAGTTAATAAGGGCAGCTTTAGCAGCTTCCTAATTATTAAGGTTTTTAACTAACGATTTAACACCTTACCTTAAGTTTTTGAGACTATAGAGGTAGACTTTTGTTAGCTTATCCTTATTAGTCTAATAGGCTTTGTGGGACTAGGAATTGTAAGTTTTGATGAAATCTATGATGTTGTTACTTGTGAATATAGGAGCGTTCTCGTTTAGGAAGGGATTTATTGTGATTGGCGTAGGATGTTGAAGGTGTGACTCCATTAGTTGCTTAATGATTTCTATTAACTAGTCTGTGGAAACAAAATAAGCGTTGCTGATAGGAGCTATAGGCTGCTGCTAGACTCTATAGGTATTATTGCTTGAAGTGTAGTAGGGATTAATACTGGGGGCTTATTCCTTGCCTTTATTAGCTCTAGCATGGAGGTAAGCATTATTGGTGGTGTAGTTAACCTTAGTGAGGTTGATGTTAGCAGCTTGGGCCTGTAAACTGGAGGGGCTGTTGAGTGAGCTGTCTTTAGAAGTTGGAGTTACCTTAGCTTGATCCTAGATATTCCTGAACGCTCCAGCTTGGATATTGAATATGTTGGCGGACTTACCTCTGGTGGTGAGGTTGTGGGGAGTTGGGATGTCTTCGCGCGACGTTTCCTTGGTTATCTTGGGCTGTGTCTTAGCTATGGTAGTTGTTAGTAATTGAGATAGTGAACATGTAGGTTGTTGTTTTTGAGTAATTGAAGGTGTTAGTCTTTCTGATCTTAAGTGTTGTTATTGCTTTTTCTGAAAACGTGATAAAGGAAAAGGAGATAAGAGAAAAGAGTGTAACTAGGTAGGTAGGCGTTATGCCTCTACTCCTACTGGTTTTAGGCCTGATTAGCTATACTGTTTTAGGTCTCTGCGGTTGACCTTATATTCTTTCTTCTAGGCCTCTGCTAGTTAATCTATTAGGGGTTGCGCAAACTGCTGACGGCTTTGCGGCAGATTTGTCCTGTTCTTCTGTGGTGAACTTATCAGTTCTTAGGGGCTGTCTCGTCTAAATATCGTGAGGCTTTATGTTCTTATTAGTTTAGAGGGCCTGTTAGGTAGATCTAGTCTAGCCTTAACAGCTTGTGATATTAAAGAGCAGTAAGGGTGAAAATAAATAAAAATCTAATACTCCCCACTATGTGGGCTATAATGCCTTTAGGGTCTTTTTTAAGGTCTTTTCGTATCCCTATATTCCTACTAGCAGAGTTGCGCTTAGCTGTTGCACTTCTCTGCTCGTTGCGAATTGGGTTTATAAATAACTACCTAACTCCTGTTGATATATCACATTTCTTGGTATTATGTAGCTGGTAATAATAGTTGTAGTTATTGTATATATCGTATCGATCTGTTTGCCTAGCATAAGAGTAAGCTCTTCTCTAGCGCCTCCTATAGGCGTCTAAAAGAAGAAAGAATCTGCCTCTGGGTACTATTGAAATGGTCGTAGGCCTAGCGGCTGAGAGCTATACGACGCAGCGGTGTATATGCGCCCTCGGGCGTGTATAGCTACTGTAGCTATATAACTCTATGGTTTTAAGGCCTACGATCTTAAAAGAAAAAGGAAAGGACTTCTTATCTACTTTATAGATNTAAAAGAAAAAGGAAAGGACTTCTTATCTACTTTATAGATCTAAAATAAAAAGAATAGGATCAAAAGCTTAAAAATCCGCTAAAAAATGAGTGAATTCTGCCTCTGATCTATGAGGATTGATGATGATGTCTGAGCTAACTTCTCGCCCCTTGAAGGGGGCTAGTAATCTGACCTCTAAACGCCGAAAACGCCGAAAAATCCAGTGGGCCCACCAAACCCCGTTCCATTACCAGTCCCTATGATTGATTGCGCCAAATCGAACCCCACAATCGACCTTAATTACGCGTTTCAGTGTGGCACATATCTCGAGTCCAGCGGCAACACACGAACGAGGCTACTCGTATCCAGGTGAAACCATTTTCTCACAGTAATCGAGTCAGCGCTCGCCAGTGCGTCGCTTCAAAGAGCTCATCATACTCTTAAGCAATACGAATAATGGATGGTCGATCAAGATACGGGTGCCGGGCGTGTACTACATAAACCTAAGCTCCGACTTTGATCTCTCGAACTGCATGTTCTGTGGTACATAGGACGACGGAACAAATCTAGATGATTTGAATTCGGACGCCATCTGAGATGAACTAAGATACAATTTAGATGCCCATTCCTCTGGGGCGTCGTAAAAGAATTATAATCCCTTAAAGTGACGAATCAGTTCAAAGATACGAAGGCGAAACTCTTCCCCAAAAGCCTTAATCGTCCGGGAAGGTCACGCCACATCATGTGCACACCCGCGAGCTGGCTGTATCCTGTTACGAAAAATCAGCAAACGCTTGAGGAGACGGAGCATCTTAGAGTAATGTACCCGAGCACACAATGTTAAAAGAAAATTCATTGACTGTATCTGAAGTACGCTACGGAGACCTAGTCGCCATAACAGGAACGCCGTCAGCAGTGGCACACCACGAGCTGGGCAAGAACTTCAGGGTCACACCCTTCAAAATATCTCCTGGTTTCACGAGCGGCGCGTGGTCCGATGTAAGATGTCGGCAACAAGGGAAACCCTCCAGGGTTTGGAGTTTAAGACTTGAGAAGCTGAAAAGTAATAAACATTAATGAGTTCAGCATAAAGATAATACGAGAACACGGTTGGAGGAACGAGATATCTGGTGCTTTGAGATGATCCAAGGTGGAGGGCTCAGTCAATATGCCCCACAAACTGCCCTCAACTCTCCGGGACCAGGACACGTCCGGGTTAGTTCTTACGGTAGCAATAATTAGCTGATGGGGAAAAGTTACTCAAGCAAGCTCAATCGTTAACAGCTGCGCTGGTTTCCAGAGACTGTAGACTTGGATCTCGTCAGTGCCGCTTAGTGCATTCTCATGCTTGTCTTGATGTGTATCTATAATTGCATCATGTTGAACGTAGTTACTCTGACTTCTCACACTTATTTCCTTCATGTGGGATAACAAGGCATCGCGCCGTCAAACTGAATGAGGAATGAGTTCATATCGGCACGTGTTCAAATATCACTCGTTGAAAAGCGGGAGATGATAGTCTCTCGCTGCGTTCGTTTCTCTTCGCTCAATGCTGAAAGCAAGCACTAAGTGTTTCTTTATTGACTATGACAATCCCTGCATCATGGCCACGGTGACGTGGAGTGATAAGTTCAGATTCGTACCAGACACAATGGGCTCCAATGCTTCGGAACCCACTCTTCACTTCTGGTACGAAAGGGCCGCCTGCCTTGGGTGGGTACAGGGGACGACTTCTAGAGGATCGAGAAACGCAAAAATCGCCGACAGGCAAATAATGCACATTCACGCAAAGCGCACCGCTGCCTTCATGAAGCAACCCAATCACGGGTCCCAGTTAAACGCTGGTACGAATGTTGTCTGTTGGGCCGTGATCAGGCTACATCCCGCCTTCAACTTTCTCATACGCCAAAACCTGTCACGATTGAAGCTTGATGCTTGGCAGATATCGAGTCTTCAAATGTGAACTTCCACGTTCTGACAATCAAATGAACGCGCAGCATGGACCACTGAATCCTTGCTGAGGGATTTCTCGCGCTCTTCTCAACATTAGTAGGCTGAAACATAGAGTGTTTTTGCCAATCCTGCGAGACCCTGCTTCATTCATCTTCCAACACAGCATTCAACAGGCTACCTCACGCTAAGCGATTATTTGGATGGCGTGTTATCTCACTTAAGAGAGGAGCGACAAGACATAAGTGGGACGTATCGCCAATCCATATCAACCACTTCTTAGAGCTGGACCTCTTCGCGGGGGCTGCCAGACGGCGTGTCGATCCAGCCTTCAACCTTTTAGAAGCACTAAGTGAGTTTACAACGCGCATTCTGCTCCCACCCTAGCTGACGTTGACGTCACAACGACAAGACTACGCCGAGGCCAAATGTCTTGCCTCTAAAACAATGATCCAGATAAGTTCAACCAGCTCAATTGAGAGGATCAGACCAACCTCTCAACGTTGCTATCAGAAAGCGCGAAACCTTTGCTAGTCATCTGCTGCGCACTGCGAAACACAGTTTGATTTAGACCCCTCATTGGTCTGTTGCTGGACGGACCTAAAGTACCTTTGACACTTTAGATGAGATGTTGCTTCAGCCGTGAACCGACTGGTCGACTGTAATTCGCTAGAGTTTTCCGCCACCGCAAAGCAAATTGAGATGAGATGGGTATATAGACTGATATCCTCAACTTCGACCCAGCGCATGATCCGGTGAACTCAGAAACGCGTCATCTTGTGTGTCGTCAGATTCGCAGCCAAACTCCTAACATCAAACGAGAAAATAGGGTCAAGTTCGAGGGCTAGAAGCTGAGGGGCTTGCACTTAGCGTTAGCGTCTAGGGCTTCAAATACAACGTTGCATTGTTTGGTGATTATCTGGGGAGCTGCAAATGTCTCGAACAAGCTCTCGACTTCCTATCAGTACCTCTATTTATATGAAACAAGGTCAGGCTGTTAGGCTGTAACTTATACGAATGGGAATTAGGGGGCTTGATGGGCAGTACTGATGGTTCCTTATCTCTGGATGGGTGATTGCGTATGGATAGAATGAGAGTCGCCCTTCAGTGGATTGAGAGCTTGGATGTCAACGCCCCATTTAGCCCCAGTTCGCGGGAGGAAGACTTGCCGCCGGGGGCTAAACGGACGACTCCTATAACAGGTCTACAGATCACAGCTTTCAAAGGATAACGAAGCTTGCTGAAGTTCTGGTCCGGTATGAAGCTCGAAATAATGTGGTAGAGTTTGTCATAGGATTGAACGCAGCGGGATTTACGCCGAATAAGGGGCACAATGACTTGGCGATATGGCTGAACGGTTAAGCCCAGAAAGGACAACAGAAGGACAGATGCCAAATGACTATTGAATGATTTTAAAACAACCAAGACATGGCCTCTTTGCACAGTCCTTGGCAAGGTCTCGGTCTCATCTGTTCAGATGCCCCACGCTGGCATTGCAGATTTTGCCGACGTCCCGGGGGAAAGTGACTTGGGCGCCCTTAAGGAAGGAAGGGAATCTCCGCGCATCCGCTGATATTAATGGAAACGTTTCATTCGTTGTGTATTGGAAGTAATGTTTGCCAGTCCCAGAGTGACTTTGTTCTTGTTTGAGACTTATGGAGGTTCGGGGTATTTTGAGTGAGACGGCTGATCTCATCCGCGGCAACAGGTGTTAGTGACCGGTAGTTAACGAGGTCCCAAGCCTTAAGGAATATGAGCTTTCAACGCAAAGCTGTCAATACATCCATAACCGTCGTCGAGGTGATAGTATGCTTCAACGCAACATCCCGGTGCTTCTTACTATTCACCAACTTATGCGTCTTACTGTCAGAAATAAAGAGCGTTCCGGAATTAGCCAAGTCAAAACAAGTCTCCGGAGGTAATTAGTGTTCAAGGGGTAACTCAGACTCCTATCATGCCTTCCGTGAATGCTCAAGCAAGTTTGGCCACATGCAATAAACGTAGGTGCTGGCGCAGATTCGGATGTTGGGCTAGGATGCGTTGATATCGGTTTGATATCGTAAATCGTCGACGTCACCCTTAACTTAATCGAGCAAGTTGCCTTTTGGGCTGGCTAGGTAGTCTTCGTTGCTGTTTTGATCGAATCCGGATCAATGTGAGTTGTGTCGCAAATTGCAGGGTTGCAACTTCATCCTCACCATCAGAAAGAACATGGAACTGTGAGCGGAACTGATACTGAGGCTGTACAGTTCAGCACATGAACCCACCCATGGACATAAACAGCTCTGCAGGTTATAATTCTCTTGAAAGTTAAGTGAGGTAAGATTTGGCCATCATTCATGATCGGTATACCTTCTGGTACTGCACGCGCTTGCAGCTCCATGCTGATACATCTCGAGATCGGTATTACAAACGGCCAATACATAATGAACTCAAAGCAGCACCAGTCTCGCATAATGACGCATCTACCTTCGAAAGAACGACATCCCATAAACCCATCGTTTCATTACTGCGCTGATTCAGGACCAAGGAATGACTAGCGAACAAGTAACTGATTTCCTTTTCCTGAACGAATCTAGGAAAGTCCCTAGCGGATGTGACTGCCTTCACATTGGTGCCATTCTTGGTGATAATTGAGAGTGTCCCATGGGTCTTTATAAAGATCGCGACCAGTGACACCAACGACACGTAGCACCGAGTTCCCAGTTAATTCATTCTCCCCCTGAAGACCTAGAATGCGGCGACAACGACTTATGGACTGGCTTAATAAGTCGGCCTACCACCTCGCCGGCCACGAAGGGAAGAGACCGACTTGACAAATTACGTTTCAGGAGGTTCCGTTGTCAGTTGCGTTCTTCTGACAATAGAATTTATGAGGCATACCACTCACACTTGAGGTGCAAGCTATCCAAGTCTCTGGCAAACACCATCAGGGAGTGTTTTACATGCTCCAAATCATATGAACGTCTACGTAATTGGCTTTTTAAGCTTGGTCGATCCGCATTGAATCAGGCTGGCTTTCTTATGGACTGAAGAATCTGTCTCATTATTCCCTGCATCATGTTCTTGTGCTCAAAAATGATGCTAATATCTTTATTCCTAGCCGCCATCTTTCTAAACATTAAGCTACGTGCTCCCGATAAAGTACACTATACTATAGATAGCTAGAGAAGCGGTGTCTCGGAAAGAAACGTCTATGTGTTCGCGTTACTGACACTGGGTTGATATCCACCTCAAGACTTGGTATATGCCATGACTTCTCTGAGACTTAGAAAACGCTTCCCAATAGAAGCTCCAAAAAAGAAACTGCGGTCTGTGTATCATGAAGATTACAGCACGATGAACTATTTTGTCGATTATGATTCCAACGAATTCAGTCTCAGTGAGACCTTTAGAATATTCGGCGCCTTGTACCCCGATCCGACCAGCAAGGAACGCTATTCGAGAGTGCATGCAACAAATCTGACACAACCGAGTGAATTTTCCTTGTGAATGTGAACATGGGAGCTCTCACTCACTGTTTTGATGTTGGACGAAAATAAGCCTTGAATCTATTGTCTTCCCACGGCGACCGACGCTCGAGCAACTGTGAAGTTCACGC